ACAGGGTGGGGCAGTTGCTTCTGCCTGGAGGCTAATTGTTAGTCTCAGTCTCTTAATGGGCCTGAGCAACTCTGGACTGTGGGACAAGGTGTTTTCCAATAGGGTGGATCAACTGTCTCTCCCCCCCCCTCCCCCCCAGGCAAGTTTGCCTGTGTAGTTAGTAAATGTGTGCCTGAGACAGATGACCTCCACTGTGTAAGGGAATGACCCAGCACAGGATACTGGGGTGTCTGCCTTCTGAGCTCTAACTCTAGAACCCCTATCCTGACTTCTATTTACACAGCTCCTGTCCACTCTGCCCTCCCTCTGTTGAATCACAGAGTAGGTGGCTCCACACGGAATTTTGTGTTGGCCCTCTAAGAGGGTGCTGAATTTCCAGCTTCTTTTCCTGGCAGAGAGCAATCCTGCTGCTTTTCACAGCCAGATTTTATGTTGGTACCATTGTCAGTTCTGATGCTTTCTGCTGGGGGGCCCAGCTTGGTGATTAGACCCCAGTCTTTCCAGTGACAACCCTCCACAGCTGAGATATCTGTGTAACTTCAGTTGCTGTCTGTGGTAGCCCACCAGCCCTTTTCACCTCCGCCCCTCCTACTAGTCTCTATGTGTTCTCCAGTTTTGATCCTCGGTTATCAGGGTTCTCTCTATTGAGTCTTTCATTGATTATTCTGGAAAATTTTCTGTATTTTAGTTGTAACTCCAGTTTGGTCCTAGAATGTCTGTGCAGCAGCCACCATTCTCAAACTCTCTCATTTATTACTTTTAATCCTCACTCAAGGATATGTTTTGAGAAAGAGAGGCGGGGGGAGAGAGAGAAAGAGAAAGATCAATGTGAGAAAAACACTAATCACTTGCCTTCCACACTTGCTCTGACTGGGAATCCACAGCCTTTTTGGCATACAGGCGACCCTCCCACCAACAGAGCTACTCGACCAGGGTTTCATGTATTATTTAAAGTATGATTTCAAGAACAGAAAAGTTCGTTGAGCACTACCCTATTTACAGGACATTTGTGGTTATTTTCCTTTAAGTTTTAGCCTTGGCATTGCTTCCAAGGTCATGCTCCGATGTAGTCATCAGGAGGCACAAAAGATAAACACTGGCCTCAGAGAGGAGAATGGGTCTGTTACATGAATCAACAATATGATTACTGATGATTTTCACAAGCTTCATGTAATTAAAAATTAAAAATTTACCTAAGCCATAGTTATTAATTTCACTTCAGTCTCATAAGAAAAGAAAATATTTCTTTTGTTTTTTTGGGAAATGATAAATCAGTAAACCGCTTTCTGTAGCCACAATTGAAGAGTGAAAAATATTGTAACTTTAAAATCTGAAAACCACAAGGAATATTTGAAGGTACAGGATGCGTAGATGTTGTAAAATTGAAGTTTATATGCATAGAATATTTAGTATTTCAGAATATGACACTTTAAAAAGTGTTTGGAATTTTTGCATTGAAACAAAGGGTTTCTTATGCTAGCATGGAAATATCCATTACTCCTGTAATTTTCATGAAATATTCTATATTTCTGCAACATAGGAATGTGAGCTTGCCAACACATTTGACCATCAAGTAAATAGCTTTTTCTGTTAAAGCCTTGGAGTTGCAGCTTAGGAAGGCAGGGATATGTTTCTATTCCAAGGCATTGGTAGATTCTGTGTAATTTTACTGACTTGTAATTGGCTTGGGTAGGGGTTAGGTGGAGAGAGGACATTTACTTTCCCTACTCTGGAAAAAATGTGCTCCACAACCAGGTTTCTGTTACCAAGAAATAGTGAATCAATATGCACTTCTCAGCCTGGGTAGCTTTTGACACCTGATGATGTGGGGGTACATTTAGATGTTAAGAAAAATCCCTGATCATGTCAGGAACAACTGTTTTTTTCTGGCAAAAGGAAGTTTTCCACTCGACAGCAAAGCTTAATGGGGCAGTCTTGAAGGTGGACAATTAAAGTTATAATTAAATAAAAAAGAGTAATTCCTCATGATATTTATTATATACTAGTAGCCTTGTGCACAAATTTCGTGCACATTAAAAGGGAATTAATTGCCCTAACCGGTTTGGCTCAGTGGATAGAGCATCAGGCTTCAGACTCAAGGGTCCCAGGTTCGATTCTGGTCAAGGGCATGTACCTTGGTTGAGGGCACATCCCTAGTGGGGAGTGTGCAGGAGGCAGCTGATTGATGTTTCTCTCTCATCGATGTTTCTCTCTATCCCTCTCCCTTCCTCTCTGTAAAAAATCAATAAAATATATTTTTAAAAAGGGGAATTAATTAGTGGAGATATTTTAATATTGCTATTTGCCCTTTATAATAGAAGTGTGAGAGATGAAAGGAAATTAGTAAAGTGTATATGAAAATAATATATAAATTTATTAATAAATAAACAGTAACAAAAGGATATAATAACAACAGAGGCATGATATAAAAATGACAAAAACATGATATGAAAACAACAAAAACATGATATGAAAACAAAAACTTGATATAAAAACAACAGTGATGCAAAAAATGACTGATAAAGTGATAAAACTTATTCTAATATCTCCCTGTACACCACATTAAGAGTGAAAACACACTTTCAGAGTGACTAATTTCCCTTGTGATGAAGTATTTAGAACTTTAACTGTAATGTCACATGCTCTTCAAACTCGAGAGAAAGCAACATATAACTGACCATGTGCGAAAATGGGTTCAGGTAGGAATATCCCTACTCTGTCTAGAGTTTGTCCTTGTGATTTATTAATAGTCATCGCATAATAAATCTGGTACCATTACAAAGACCCCATTTACTATTAAGATTTCTCAATAGCATGATGATTGCACCACTTTCAATTTTAATTTATGACACGGCATTCCCAAAGGAGTAATACTATTGAGAAATTCGATGGGAAAATTTTCCTTTTCAGCATTATCTGTGGAATCAATGGAATCATCACTCAAATATGTGTGAAAATCTCCATTGAGTATATCCAAATTTTCTTCATTTAATTTTTGAACATGCTCATTTTTTGGACAAAGAATTGCACATTTAGATATATTTTTAATATTATCTATAGATATAATATTTCCAAAGGTAGCTTCAATAATAGATCCATTACAAATCATTTCACTTCCATGCTTCGCTCCGAGGGCGGGTTCCTGCCTGAAACCTCGCCTGAGGGCGGGTTCCTGCCTGAAACTTCGCCCTCCAGAAAGCAGCTGGGGGAGGGCACAGCCGTTTCCAAGACGACCCCTGCAGGACTGACTTCCTTCCGGTTGGTCGGGGTTCTGGCCATGATGTTACACCCAGGGTTTTTATATAAGTAGATTATGTTCTTAAATAATCTTTTAGATAAAAAGTACTGGCTTTATTGTAGTAGATTATTTTTTGTCATTGCAAATATAATCTTTAGGATTTTGCATATTGGCACTGCCTAATAAACTTCTATAAGTCTAAAGGAAAATATGTGTTTTTGCTTTGAAGTTTATCAATATACGAATTAGAAATATTGATTTCACAGAATGAAATTGAAGTGAAATAAGCCAGTCAGTATCACATGATCTTACCCATATGTGGATTCTAATGAGCAAAATAAAATCACATTTGGAAATCCTATATAATAAAAGGGTAATATGCAAATCTACTGAATGGTGGAACGACCAGTCACTATGATGCACACTGATCACCAGGGAACAGATGCTCAACACAGGAGCTGCCCCCCTGGTGGTCATTGAGCTCTCACAGGGGGAGCACTGCTCAGCAAGAAGCCAGGCTGATGGCTGGCAAGCACAGCGGCGGTGGCAGGAGCTTCTCCCATCTCCGCTGCAGTGCTAAGGATGTCCAACTGACAGCTGGGGAGTGGGCCTACTAGTAAGCCATCAGTTGGACATCCCCCGAGGGCTCCCAGACTGTGAAGGGTGCAGGCTGGGCTGAGGGACCACCACCCCTCCTCAGTGTATGAATGTTGTGCACTGGGCCTCTTGTTTATTATAAATATAGCTCTAACTTGTTTCAAAAATATTAAATAGATACTTCTCCAAAGTGGACAACAGAAGGCCAAGAGACATATGAAAATATGGTCAAATTCACTAATCCTCCAAGAGATGCAAATAAAAATGACAATGAAGTATCACCTCACACCTCACCTGTCAAAATGGCTATCATCAGCAAATCAACCAAGGACAAGTGTTGGTGAGGATGTGGAGAAAATGGAACCCTAGTACAATGCTGGTGGGAATGCAGACTAGTGCCACCACTGTGGAAGACAATATGGCGTTTCTTCAAAAAATTAAAAAATGGAACTTCCATTTGACCCAGTGATCCCACTTCTAAGAATCCCAAAAGACCAGTCAGAAAGAATACATGTACTCCTATGTTCATAGCAGCACAATTTATAATAGGCAAGATTTGGAAACAGACCAAGTGCCTATTAGCAGATGAGTGGCTAAAACATTTTGGTACATGTACACAATGGAATACTATGCAGCAGTAAAAAAGAAAGAACTCTTACATTTTCAACTGCATGGATGGACTTGGAGAGTATTATGCTTAGCCAAATAAGCCAGTCAGAGAAAGATCAGTATCACATGATTTCACTCATATGTGGAATCTAATGAACAAAATAAATCAGAGACATAGAAGCATGGAACAGACTGTTGAACCTCAGATGGAAGGCGAGGGAGGGTGGGTGGGTCTGAAGAGATCAACCAGAGAACTTGTACGCATATATGCATAACCCATGGACTCAGACAATAGGCTGGTGAAGGTGTCAGGCTGGGTGCAGGGGAGAACTAGAAGAGGTCAATGGGGCGAAAAAGGGACTATGTAATACTTTTAACAATAAAGATTTTTTAAAAATATTGATGGCAAAAATTTGTGTTGGTTTGGTTTTCCCTTCTTTAGGTTATGAAAAATAAGTTTTTCAAATACATTTAACTTAAAAAATGTTGACTTTTTAAAAAAATTCTCACCCGAGGATATTTTTTCCATTGATTTTTAGAGAGAGTGGAAGAAAGCAGGAAAGACAGAGAGAAATATCGATGTGAGAGAAACATATTGATTGGTTTCCTTTTGCATGTGCCCAGACCAAAGCCCAGGCTTGGGAGGAGCCTGCTAATGAGGTACATGCCCTTGACTGGAATCCAACTCGGGACCTTTCAGTCCGCAGGCCAACACTCAATCCACTGAGCCATACCGGCTATGACTGTCGACTTTCTAAAAATATTTGACTCTAGTTTGATTATTGAATAATGTAGATAATCTTACATATTCATAATTAAGACTACCATATTTAAAAAAATCATTTACACAAAAAGAACTGTTTCCAGATTGAAAATAGAACATACTATGTACATTTCAATTGGATACAGTTAATTTCCAAGCATATATTGTGAATTAGAAAATTTATGGAAAGTTATGATGTGAGCGATGCACTCACATCGTACATACGGTATCATAGCTTTATAGGACTATATTATCTGTATGTACTTGATCCACACTTCAGACAGAATTGTCAGCAAGATCATTGCTGGCTAGTAATACCTGCATGATGTTATCAACAAAATAATGTATGTGTTGCATAGTGATTAATAATATATGTTATAAATTCTTCATTTGCCTGAAAATGACTGAAGACTACTGCAATTTTTTTTCCACACACACACATCACAAATAAATTAATATGTGAATTCATCATTGACTTTACCATCACAAAGAAAATTAGGAAAACATTTTTGTTATGGAGGTTTAATGTCAGTTTTATTTTTTTACCAATTAATTTCTCAGAGTTGATTCTAAAAATATAAAACTGTGACTGTTTCAGGTGGACTTCAACATTTATCTGATTACCCTGTAGTGGTCTGCTGCATGAATTACATGCCATAGTTAATGTAACTGGAGATATTCCACACTGCTGTTTAGATGCAATTGGAAATAATTGCGTTTTCCACAGACATTGTATATACTGGAGGTATGACATTCAATTGAAATAGGCACATAACAATGGTTTATATCTTTTAGTGTAAATCTGAAAATTCTCTTATTACATTTCACTGAAGTTTATCTGTGTCTTTTAGGCAATTCATTATCAATTTTTTAACGAACTTATAGAAATATTCTTTTAAAGTATTAGTATTATGGAATCATCTGAAAATAGAAAACATTGTATTTAAGGAAAGCCATTTGAGTCGGTGTAGGACACTGAACTGAGTGCTTGAGTGGAAAGATGCATGCTGATATTTTGCCTAGGTTTCACTGTGATAGTGGAAATAGTAATTTAAAAAATGAAATAAATTATAACTTAGAACTATAATTAGAAGTAAAATTAGAATATAGTGCTAATAAAAAGCATGACATTATCAGTTCTATTGATAATCATGGAGTGCTTCTTAGAAAAGTATTAAAGTAATAGTATTGAACTAGGGGTTGAAAAGTGGTGTGTTTTTTTATTTGTTTGTTTGTTTGTTTTTTGTTTTTATTTTACAGAATAAATGTTCCTGAGAATCTAGGTTCAGAAAGATGATTGAAGGTCAAGCAGACCAAGACACTTGCCTGTAGGTTCCTCTGGTAACCTACAGTGCTTGTGCTAGGTGTGATGTGACCTAATATACCTTGTAGAAATGCCCTCTGTGGGACAGTGGCATAGTTCATTGTAAGAGAGCATAAGGCTTAGCCAGTGTCCAGGTCAAAGGCTGTAGTAATTTCAGATAAGAGACAAATTGATCCTGAATGGGTGATAGTCAAAATGTAAAATCTTGGCAAAGAACAGCAGATTACCAAGACCTAGCAACTGTGGGGATTAGAGAGGAAGGAAATTATTGAAGAGGATTATGAATATTTTTCATTGATAGGTGAGTTTCATTTTGAATCTGTTAATTTTGAGGTATCTTTGGGACATCCTGTTGGAAATTTAGATCATGAATTCAGGAAAAACTTTAGAGTTGGTGACCTTTGCCTGGAAGTTGTTAGGGAGGAGGCGTTGATATTGTACATTTTTGAGCTTGTCCGTGGAGGCAGTAGTAAGCAATTTATAGAAAGAGTCAATAAGAGTCATTTAAGGGAAGAACAAGAATGACAGAGAATCAAAAGGAATCTAATGGAAGTACTAGTAGCATTCTGTGTTCTCGACACCAAGAAGAGGAAGCAGTTTGTGGCATCTGGTCTCTCTATTTTAAATATATATTATTCTCTTTGTAAATGGTATTTTGTCACTGTGCAGACATCTGGGTCAGTATTCACTTTTTACCTAACAGTTTTAGCATCCATTGATTTTCTTTGACCAAATGAGTTATTTCATTAGGAGTTAAAAATTGTGATTTTGTAATTTTATTATTCTACTTTCACTAGTTGGCATTTTTCTGAAAACACAAGCTTTTTTCCCTTTTCCATTGACATTTTTGGCTTCTCTGAAATACGGTTTCTATCGAAAGTCAGAATATGTTTTTAATACTTTTTCTTTAATACTTTTTCCTCCTTAGTGGAGGAAAATGAATAGAACAGCCAGGTTCCTATCCCATGGTAGTTAGCCCCAAAATCCTTGACATAAAAATGCTACTTGAGTTTCTCTATACTTTCAACCCCTCTGTCTTCCTGGACATTTAAGGTGCTGTCATTAGTAATTTTATGTGCCCTTTATGACTTATTTGAATTTCTCATCAGTATGGACTATCATGTGAAACTGATAGTTTTGCTTTGTTTTGAAGTTAACATGTTCAAGTTTTAAGGAGGGGCTCTTAGTATTTAGGAATACACGAGCTTTAGTGTTTTTATTTGCTTCATTTTTTTTTTTTTTTTTTTTTTTTGTTTTTTTTTTTTTTTTTTTTGTTTTTTTAATAGTTTGTTTTTTTTTTTTTTTTTTTTTTTTTTTTTTTTTTTTTTTTTTTTTTTTTTTTTTTTTTTTTGGACTTTGTCTCTGTCCTCTGTTTATTTTACCATTTCTGTGTTCCTATAGGCAAGGTCAGTCCCCAGTCTCTGGGCCAGGAGTGGCATCCAACTCCTACCAGCATTCTTCTGCACTCATATTTATGCTCTGTCACAGCTTTCTTGAGCTGCTCTGACCAGAAATGTACCAATATTTTCTAGTAAAAAGTACTTGTTGCTAATGTTTAATGCTGCTATTGAGTTTTAAAAAGTTCATTTTCTGGCCCTAGCCAGTTTTGTTCAGTGGATAGAGCATTGGCCTGGGGACCGAAGGGTCCTGAGTTCAATTCTGGTCAAGGGCAGGTACTTAGGTTATAGGCTTGATCCCTGACCCTGGTCAGGGTACCTGTGGGAGGCAACCAATCGATGTGTCTCTCTCATATCTATGTTTCTCTCTCTCTGTCTCTCCCCCAGCCTTCCACTCTCTTTAAAAATCAATGGAAAAATATCTTTGAGTGAGGATTAACAACAACAACAAAAAGTTTATTTTCTGTAGGTTAATTAAAAAAAAAAACCTTAAAAAATTTCATGTTAAAGTTTACATTGGTTAATATGTATAGATTAAAAGGTTTTTTTTCCATTTTACAGTATTGGCATAGATCCAAGGCTATAAATTTATTTTTAAGTTTTATTATCTGACTAGATGCCCGGTGCACGAAACTCGTGCAGGGGGTGTGTGTGTCCCTCAGCCCAGCCTGCACCCTCTCCAATCTGGGACCCCTCGAGGGATGTCTGACTGCCCTCCCCTGCAGGCCTGGTTCCCCCCAACCGCCCTCCCTTTCTGGTCTGATCGCCCACAACTGCCCTCCCCTGCTGGCCATCTTGTGTCCACATGGGGCGGCCATCTTGTGTGTTGGAGTGATGGTCAATTTGCATATTACCTCTTTATTATATAGGATGGGACTCATGAAGGAACACAAACAATATCCTAAACTTTGCTAAGGTCTAGACAATGCAAACCTTTCATATACTTATTTTTCTATGTTTATATTCACTGTTCATGGTTTAAGTAGCAAAGAAGAATCAGTCATGTATGTAAGATGTACAGATAGCCTACCCTTCACAAAGTTATTAAGGAGAATGTCTCAGTACTTCTCTTGAAGTGGGGTATTGATGTAAGTGGGGTGAAGTCAGGTTAACATTTCTAATTTGTTTGTATAGGAGCTATTTAGATATTGAACTAAAATGCTTGCGTTTCCCACCTTGTATTAGCCTTTTCATTTCTTTTTAGAGCATTGAAATTAAGTTTTACAGCCTGATAGCCAAAGAGAATTGTTTAAGCTGTGATTTAAAGCAATCATTCAATAGCTTGTGGTTGCTCTTGACATTTTAACCCTTTCATGCTGAGACATGAACATGACAAAAAGCTTCTCTCAGGGAACAAACAAAGGAGAAAATGCCAGTCACTTAACCTCCAGTTGTTAACATCTCAGGAAATTGTGCTGTGAATATTGTCCTGTTTTTGTTTTGTTTGTTTTTTGCTTTTGTTGCTGGTAAAATAGATGATAAGCCAATTTTAAAACATAAAGAGGCCATCAAGTGTACTGATGTTGCTAAGGGTGGGAAAGTGCTCACAAAACAGTGATCACTGGCTATGGAAGAGATGGAAAAACTGTTGATTTGGATAAAGGAAAAGCAGTTAGCCAATGACAGCATTTTGGAGGCAGTGATATAAGAAAAAAGGAAGATGTTGTGCTCCTAGAAGGAGCACTGAAGGTGACTTGTTTAAGGCTAGTTGGGAGTGGTTTGATATATTGAAGAAAAGAAGTGTTTGTTTATAGATTATACTGTACATTAGACATGTACTGTATATAAGAAAAGTTAAAACAGGGATTCATTTAGGGGTCTGGAACAGATTAATTCAATTTACATTATTTCTAATGGGGAAACACTGATTTGTGTGGGTTTTTTTGTTTGTTTGTTTGTTTTTTAACAAATTGCTTCTCGAACAGCCTTTCAGAACAAATTAAGTTTGAGAACCGAGGTCCCACTGTATTTATTAACTGACTAGTTTGTGTGTGTTTTCTTTCTTTTTTTTTTTTTTTTAAGGAAAACAAATGTTTAATACAATTTGAAATAAGGCAAGCCCCTCAATTCAGGGGTCCTGGTAGAACACAAAACATACTTGGGAGCCAGGCAGCAAGGCAGATACCTTTACTCCTGCAGGAGGGTGCACAACACATGGTCTGGGAGCACACGCACACCGAGCAGGCGGTCTGCTTGGCTTTTTAATCCTGATGCATGTGACCTGTCCCTCACTCTAGTTTGGAGCTCAGGTGCACAATCTTGCACGATTGCCTAATTCAAAGGGACGGGTTGGCCTTTGCCGTTTCAAGATGGTGGCCCCCAGGAGAGCTGCAAGCAATGCGGCCAACATGGCGGCTGCCAAGTTATGTCCAAAATGGTGGCTGTCTAAGCTGTTCTTTGATAGAAAAGATGATTTGTTTTGTCTCACAGTACTATTTCCTTACACAATCAGTTTTTCAGATTGTATCACATTTGGTCAGGGTTTATGGATACAGAGGATGAATATCATAAGTCAAATTGAAACTGACAATTGTGCATTGTCACAGAAGAGTATTAAAGATTCAAGTTATCACTCTAGCAGTGGAAACAACTTTGGTCTCCAACAGCTTAAAGATATCACTGTCATATCACTGTGAACAATTATGTGTCTACTAGAGGCCCGGTGCACGAATTCTTGCATGGGTGGGGTTCCTTGGGGTGGCCTGCGGAGATCGGGTCCCAGCTCGCGCCCCCAGCCTCACAGCCTCGCAGCACCACCTGGCACCCCACCTTGGTCTGGCATTGCCCCCTCACCTGCTCCACATTCTCGCCTGCAGGGTGATCGATTGGGGCCGGCCCCCCCGACTCCCAACCAGGCTCCCTCAGTGCCTGGGAGCCAGGTGGCAGCCCCGCCCCTCGCCACTGGTCACGGTCTGCGGGACGATCAGCAGGCGTGATCGGGCCCCTGCTTGCACCCACCTTGGCCTGGTACCACCTGCTCACCTGCTCCACCATCCCACCAGGGTCCCACTCCCATCAGGGCCAGCAGCGCCTCATCACCAACGCCTGCCATGTTTCGCTCTGTCCCCTGGTGGTCAGCACACGTCATAGCGAGTGTTTGAACTCCCCTTAGAACAATTGCCTGAGGGGACAATTTGCATATTAGGCTGTTGTTATATAGGATTATGTACCATGTATTGGGATAGACTAATTTTTTCTTTACTTAATGTTTGAAATAATGCTTACAAATAGCTAGTGAATATTACGAGCTCAGAACAGCAAAAGGGTCTTACATCTCTTTCTCAAAGTCATAAAACTACAAAGATCTAAATAGGGAGCCAAATTCATTAGTCTTTCTTATTTTAAACATTTTTTATAAACTATAGAAAATACCTCAAAATACTATTATGAGATTGGAAAGAAGAAGAGAAAAAAACCAGTAAAAGTTTTGTATGGAAAGTTTTGTTGTTGTTGTTGTTTTTGGTGCATATACTTGGCTTGGGGAGGTTGATTTGGGAGCAAGTGCAAACCAGGTGCATCATTAATTTGCAGAATCTGTTTTTTACAACACAACTTTTTGTTTCTTTTTGAATAGAAAGATGAAAATTACAGAAGCCTCCCACGAGATACTAGTCACTGGTCTAACCAATTTCAGAGAGACAATGCTCGATCATCTCTGAGTGCTAGTCACCCCATGGTGGACAAATGGCTGGAGAAGCAAGAACAGGTAACATAAGGAATCCTTTACCATGCATTTTTGGTATAATATCCTAACCCATACACCAAGATATGTTTTCCTCCATTTCAATAATGATTAAAGGTAAATTATTCTAACAGACTTTAGTTAAGTAACAGGCTGTATGTCAGAGTTTGTCTAACATTAATGTAAAATATCTCTGTGGTGGTTCCTGAGCACAGGTTTCTCATAAGGAGTTATTAATATTTGTGATTCTGAAACATCACAACTTTGGGTTTTGTTATGTGGCTGAGGCACAGATATTTGGCAGTGAATAATGCAATTTATAAGTAGGCTTTTAAGACCACTCATGGGTTCTTCTCTTCTTCTATAGGCAGTAAGTCAAAGGATCTGAAGAGGCAAATTAAAATTTCATTATACCTGCCTTAACTTTATGAAAGAAATATATGCTATTGTGTTGTTTCAGAATTTAGATTGCCATGCTTGCGAATTTATCCTTTCATATGTCAAGGAACTATTTTAGGTTTATACTTTTTAGAAGTGCTTAGTTCACTTTGCATGATCACCACATATAATTCATGAAATCGGCATTGTTTACCACTCAGTATAAATAACAGCTTCTTGTTTTGGGGAGAATTGTTTGCAAAGTTTTTATATCATTATTAGAGAGGCCTATTCTTCATATGAAGACTGAAATTTTATCTGGTTATTTTTGTTATATAAAAATAAAATTCTGCCCTGCTGATGTCGCTCAGTGGTTGAGTGTCAACCTATGAACCAGGAGGTCAGGGCACATGCCTGGGTTGTGAGCTCAATCCCCAGTGGGGAGCGTGCAGGAGGCAGCCAATCACTGATTCTCTCACATCATTGATGTTTCTATCTCTCTCTCCCTGTACCTTTCTGTCTAAAATCAATAAAATACATACTTTAAAAAAATTCTTTCAGTTTTCTTTTTTTTTTAAGTCTTATTTATTGTTAGTCACAGTCATTTCTTTGCATTGGGAATGCCCGTGTTTTCTTTACAGTTTTAATAGTTTTGATGTTAAAAATTCACTTATTAGGTTATTTCTTCATTTAGTTATTTTCTTAAAAGGTTAATATGGATGGAAAACTAGGTGAGTACTCAGTGAGAGAATGTTTTGTTATCCATTTCAGTAGTTTCTAAAATTATTAATTTAGTTGTTTAGATACTGGAATAGCTATTTTTCAATTCAGATTAATGATATCAGTGGAAAGAAATACTTAAGTGTTTTAATTAATCCAAGTCTATGTTTTATAGGATAAACCTAAAATATTTTTTGAATGTAGGATGTTCTAATATGAAACTATTAAAAAGAACAGTTTGACTTTGATATCACTGATAGTAAAGCACATGCACTGATTTTTATCCTAAGTAAATATTAGCATACAAAAACATGGTGTGATTGAAAAAATTTTGGAAGTTCTATTTAGGAAAAACATAATTTTCTCAAAATAATACAGATTTTAAACTAATTGGTATTAATTCATTATCACTTTGAAGAAAATGTTTTTAAGACTTAGATTGTTTAGTATGGGCCTGGAGTCAGACCTGCTGATTGTTATCTTTTTACCACATATGAGATTTGACATGAGATTCTGTCACATTGGTAAATTAGTCCATACCTCTGTTTACTTATTTATCAAATGGGCATAATCATAGAACCTTCCTCAGATGGTTGCTGTATCAAGTAATGTAATACTTGCCAAGGAGCTGGAATCATGCCTGGTTAAAATTATCTGCTGATAATAGAAAATTTAGATTGTATAATAAGGAAACATTCATTACTCATTAACAAGAAGCCTGGAGGAAAGGAAGGGGGAGGCAGAGGTGGTAGTGGAGAATGAGGATATTCATTTGCAGCTCAGTGACCTCACTGTGAATCTGGATTCTCCATCTCTCCCAGGAGCCTTCACAGGGCTCCATGCTGTGCTCTCAAGCTTGTCCTTTCCTGCCAAGGACCCAACCATCATATCCTTGCATGGAGGAAGAGGAACAGTGCTTTCTAAGATGTGGGGACTTGCATTATTTGCCTGTTCAGTTCTAAATCAAAGGGAGTAAGAGTACCAGTCTTGGTTTAGTTAGACTAATTGAGCTTGACCTCCTAGAGCTGGGGGTGAGGTGTAGCCAATTCTCTTCCCTGAAGTACAGCTGCTCATCACTGAATGTAATCAGGGTTCTGTTAAACAAGGAGGAACGTACAGTTAGCTAAATATGTAAATATGACCATTTTTATTGCAAAATTAGGAGAAAAAATTGTCATCTCAGAGTTTTAAAAATAATATACATTTAATTATATTCTACTAGTAAAAGCATAACTTTTATCTTACTACTGCAGTTGTAGATCTCTAAAGGAAGTAATAGTGTTTGTCTTTGTAAATTTGGTATAAAATAGTTTCTTTTTTAAGCAAAAGGGATTGCATGTAGAAGCCACATTAACATATTTCCCAAAAAAAACTCTTGATTTGTTTCTCTTGAAGTTATTTGAAGTATTTGTTTCATAATAAGCAAGCTTTGTAAAAAATAAGTGCTTTCTTAATCTATGGAGTCTAATATAGATGACATTAGCTATGATTCCTGAGCCTAAAACATCTTTTTCCTTGGCTTAAGCTTAAAAAATGATGATCCATTCACTAAATTTACATAAGCAGGATAATTAACTAGACAAATCTATTTAACTGGACAATAACAGCAAAAACTAATCAAACCTATATTAAAACTTAGGCTGAAAGTAAGCACAATTGTTTGTGCAGAAGAAGACTAATAGGTTATGCTGCATGCACTGGAAATCTCTTCCAGCTATTTTCATTTAATTGTGAATTTATTCTTTTAACTGTTCCCTGCAGTCACCTGACTTTAATGGCCTGATATCTCCTTTGTGGCTTTTTTCTAGTTAGTTTTTTGTGTGTGTTTTTAAATATATATTTTATTGATTTTTTACAGAGAGGAAGGGAGAGGGATAGAGAGTTAGAAACATCGATGAGAGAGAAACATCAATCAGCTGCCTCCTGCACACTCCCACTGGGGATGTGCCCGCAACCAAGGTACATGCCCTTGACTGGAATCGAACCTGGGACCCTTCAATCTGCAGGCCGACGCTCTTTCCACTGAGCCAAACCGGTTAGGGCGTCTAGTTAGTTTTTACCATTAAAAATATAATAAAGAGAATGGTATCACATAGATAAAAGAATGTTTTATATGGTTTAAAAAAAATCAACCCTCTGCCTGTACAATTTGGGATCACCAGGGTAGAACTGATGGCTGCCTTCCTTATGAGGTTAATAGAGTTCTAGATTTTATATGTGTCCAATAGTTTTGTCTTTGCTCTATTTCCTACTAGAGAGCTTGTCTCTCGTTATCTCTGTTTTGTTCGAAGACAGTTATAACCACATCAGCTTTGCCAGTGGGAATAAACAGTAGGGATGAAAAGGACAAAAGAGTGTATAGAATGCTGAGCTGGCAGGCACCTCTGGAAGCTGAACGTGTCTTTTTCGTTTTGTGGGATTGGTCCTACATAAGGCAATATTGAATTTTCTTTCCCTCTGTTAAAATATTGGTAAGTTATGCCTCTATAACCAAAGATAAATGATGTATATTACTAGAACTCTGTACCAGGAAGCACTTGGCATCAAGCTCAATATTTTTTCCCAAAAATAGTAGTCTTGCTTTTCAGTGAGTAGTTCACTTTGCTCAGAATTGCCTATAGCTGAATCCTATATCAGGTTCATTTCAGAAGGTAGAGGATTGTGTATCTTTCAAAGAAAATCCTTTCCTTATGTCAGCCTTGTGACTTCCTTTTTCTGAGAGATCTCAGAGGAAGCACAAAGGATTTGAAGAATAAGTGGGTGGTTGTTGTATTGCCTTGAAAAAGTGTTCATGCTTCTGCAATTTTGATTTCTCAGACCAAAGAAACTATAAAAGTAACAAGCCTTGTAATTTTGATGTTTAATATACTTTACGAAATCTGAATTCCTTTTAACCATTACCATTTCTCTGACTATATGTAGACTATAATTTAATGTTGGAAGTTAATAGATTATATGCCAACTTGTTCTTATATCCCCACTGTTTATTGCAACTAATAAATTCTACAAAAGAGGAGTCAGGAACTTTACAATACATGATTAGAAGAATTAAGGACCAGAAAGTAGAGGGACTTTAAAGGAAGTTAAGCTAATTGGGAGCCTGCTGTTTTCACTAACTTGACTTGGTGTACAGGCCTGAAACCAATTAACAAAGATAGCAAGGAGGTGCTAGTCACCTTCCAGCCACAGCTTAAGCTCTGTTATAGGGGAATGACTGCCCTAACCTTTAGAGAAAAATCCATGCTCTAGGTTTTTTTTCCATTAAGCAAAAACCTTTATGTAATTGGCAGATTATACTAAAGGAGACAAACTGTTTTAGGAAAACTATTTTAAATGTTTGGTGATGACACAATTCGCCTTTGTACCATTGCCTGCAAATCCCTCCATTCAGGTCAAGTCTCACAGTCTTGATACAAGGAGTTTTAGGAGCAATCTCAGTATATTTTTTCTTATTTTAAGCACTTTTTTCACTGTCTCCTGCCATGATGCTTTTACTTCATCCTTCTTCATGCTGAACAAAGCATTCCTGACCTGCTTATTATTCCTTCTGAGATGAAGATGGCTAAATAGGAATTCTGTCTGTTTTTCATTAGCCTGTATTTGTTGAGTCCTTAGATATTAGGATTACAAAATAGCTAAGTGTTGGATAAATAGAAAACATATTTAAATAAAATATTGCTACAGAATGAATGCTTATTTCTCTTATTTTCAAAGAAGAATAGTTAAACTATTTTGATACTTTTTAAACGTTTGAAAATATTTATGCATTGTAATGAATATTTACATAATACACAATGAGTATATTTGGGTTTCATGGAGGCAGGTTTGGCTGCCTGCCTCCATGAAAACCAAACACATGAGACAGGTGCTGGTAAGCAAAAGGAAAGAGGTTTATTTAACTGCTGGTCACCTGAGAAGATGGGGGACTTTTACCAAACCCCATCTTAGCATTCTCAGTGCAGGCAGGGGTTTTTGTAAGGAAGGAGAGGGTA